TTAATTAAAATAAATTTTATTAATAATTGTAAGTATTTTTTATAGATGTAAATACTTTTTTTGTTCAAAAAAAGTTTAAGAACTTAATCATTCAAAATATGAAACTTTGCCTCTCTTTTTTTCCAGACTTTTTTCATTATTTTACCACAGTAACCAGTTTTATAGGTCATAAAAATGTATCTAACAAGTTTTAGAAAGTTGAAGGAGTTTATTTTATAGGTTTTGGAATGTCCAATGTCTTATTTGTTTCAAAAAATTGTCCAATGACTTAATTATTCCAAAACATTAAAATCCATTACGTTTTTTAGACTTTTCCCATTTAATAAATATCAATAACTTTCGGATAAAAGATTAAAATGAAAGTAGATAACAAACTATTGGTTTTAATCCATTTTTACGGTTATTTCTTATTCCCTTGCAAATTAATGTAATACTAATTAGTAATTACCAAAATCAAGTTCCATTATGTTTTTAAATCTAACTATATATCTTTAAATGACGGCTCTAGTGAAAAATAAAGTTATGATAAAAAATATAAAAAGAGATGTTCACCCTTAAATCAATCATAATTGAATGTCAATATTAATGATATACATCAAGATGCAGCAGATCAATTCCCTTCTGAAGTAGAATTTATGGATGGACATTAAAAATGGTCAAGGATCCAAATCTATTCTTACACTTCTTACCACAACTTCTCTTCTTACACCATCCTTCACTTCTTCAAACATACTTTATAAAAGAACATTATCATATATAATGAAGCATTGTGTGAGAAGTAGAGTTAAGGTGAGAAACGTGAGAAGAGATCTAGACCCTTGATCACCTTTAATTTCAAACTCATCCATAAATCACGTTTGATATGGGGTTTGATCTGGTGCATCTCCGTATATCTCATCTCGATGCATCTCATCCTAATGTACATCTAATGATAGAGATTTTTCTTACGATTCTCACTTTAACTCTTCTTCTACCCGAAAACCCAACTCTATCAGAGTATCTCTAACAGATTCTCTAGAATGGAAAAAATAGAGAAAATAGAGATTTTAAACATATATTTTGCTCCAATAGCTTCCCCCAAACTATCTTCAAAATAGAGAAAGTAGGAGAGAGAATAGTTTTTTCTCAAAATATGGAGATCACCTTAAAAATGATTAGCAAAGGAGAGTATCAATTGAAAACTTTGAAAATAAATATATATATAGAGAGAGAA